TTCTTACTATCTCTGGTCATGTCTCATCTTGGATCTATCATAAACTATGTCGTATTATTTGTTTAGTAAACCCTTTTATATTATTAGTCTAGGCAAGTTGCTGGTCTTTGGCTATATAAAGCATTCCATGTAACCTGATTTAAACAAAGGAAAATTGAACCTAGCTCCTTCTTCATTTATTCTCTGGTTCATAGTGTCTCAAACTCTCATTCTCTCTGAAGTGATAAATTAACTCTTTCCTTCTACTAAATCTCTGGTTACTTTATTCTCTTAAATCTTTCTAATCTCTTACGTACACTCCATTATCACTTAAACTCTCATAAACTCACCCATTCTCTGTTGTCTAGTCTCTCTTTGATTCTCAGTCTCCCTGGTCCAAACTAAACCAAAAGCTGATTATCTTCAGACAACTCATTCTCCATTTCATTCTCACGATATTCTTTCTATTCTCACAGCTTTTGGCAGAGTAATTGAGGTTACAATATATAAAAATTAAAAATAATGATATAACTTATTTTATTTAAGAATATAAAACTATGATTTTATCCAAAAAACAAATTTATATTTTACAAATAAGAAGTGAAATTAAATATTTTCACTTTTTAAAATGAATAATATTTCACATTTATAATATAATATAATTTGTTATAAATACATATATCATTCATTATTTTTAATAAAAATATAAAATAATATATTTGTATAATATAAATATAAAAATAAATATATTATAAATTTAAACGTAGCTATATTATTTAGAAATAAATAAATTATATATAACATATTATGTTTTGATAATTTTATATATGAATCATATACGTCTATACCAATAAATAAATTTTTATGAATATTTTATATAGATATTATATATTACTAATTTATTTAATAATTTAAAAAGTTATGTTTATATCCAAAAATAAATGTAAAAGAGGCAGCTATTCTAGTAAATGTTACGTTTGCGGATGGTGGCGATTCTATAAAATATGCTGCCATAAAAATGGTTTAAGACTTTAGTTTTATTTATTTTTAAGAGTATTTGAACTCTACACACAAACTCTATATCCTAATTAGCTATATACCAATTTAGGATTTTTGTCACTTTTTTCGAAACATTCATGATATTTTTACCCCTACTACTACTTCAATACCAGCTCTGCAATAGCCATCGAAACATAACTTCTTGTTAGATTTATTTTCTGATGACTCCGTGCATGTCAAACAAGTTGCAATTTCTTTTTATGATTTCGATGGTATTCCCCTAGCCTAAATTATTTTCAAAATTCAAAATCTAATTTTAAAACCAAATCTGATTCCTTATCTTCTTCCAATCTTAAATTACAGTGACATTGTTGTAAATCTAGGTTAAGTGGTGTAAACGTTTTTGTTATTCTCTTGTGTTTCACGTACATATATATTACAACATACACCCATTTTGGTGTAGATAACTCCTATAATATAATCACATCGTTATCAGCTCTTCTTAGATATATCTAAAACATATTCAACCTTATCTCCCAATACTACCCTTCAAATTGGGAATATGAAAATTTCTTACTCCCAAATTGAACAATAAAGTCTCAAACTGAGCTCGACCGAGAGTCTAAAACTTACAACATCTAGATGGATCCCAACGTGAGGTGTTTGCCCAGTTCTATGAAGCATGGACGCATTTCTGTCTTTTTTTTATTTTGTTCTCCGGGAAATAGAGCACGAGTTGGAATTTTTTATCGAGGAAGGTAGGCTCCAAAAGGTAATGAGATCATCCCATACGTACTTCGAGATCTCGGTGGGTTTCACTTCATAAAAGTAGATTTCCCACTTGCCTTTCCAATCCAAGACGGGTGTTGCAACGGATCTTGGCTTTTGTACAGCATTCACCTTCTCGTTGATCGATAAGGACTAGTGCCACTTTTTTGAAACAAAAAAGAAGTTTTTAAAATATTAAAAATAATTAAATATTAAAAATTAAATATTTTAAAAATATTTATCGCAAAATGTTTAATCCATGTTGTCTTCACGTGGTCTGGAGTTATAGTCCAGTTCGTATGAGGCTCGAAAAAATACCTATTCATCGTCTTTGAAATACTACGGCTGACGCGGTTGTTGGCTCCGACCTCGAAATAATACGAACTTATTACAAAAAAAACAGAATTCAGTATATTTTTTTTTTTTTAAAACATACCAACAAATAGTCCGCGGACGATCGAGGTCTAGAATATCTAAACCATCTCTTTTTGGTGGGGCAAGAAAATCCTCTACAGTATATGTTATAGTGTATATGGAGGTACATGTAACTCTGAATGAACCTTGATCACCGGTAGTAATATAGTATGTATTTATACAATATTGATACTTCTTATTTAAAAATATTTTTTCAAATCTTATTAGATTCTTTGCTATATGTTAGGTAATAAGTTTAACCTACCAACTTTTAATTGTATAGACTAGATTAAGTTTAATTGATAGATCCAACAAATTTTTGTAATAGATCAATACCACTAAAATATGATCACTTTCTTTAATAAGATTTTTATGTTTTCCAAAAATACATTTAATATTATGAACAAATTTAATTTTTCATTAATGATAATTTGATCTTTTTATTATGGGCATAAAAACTATATACTAATGAGTTTTTATTAATGGGCCAAATTCACCTTCTAATTATTAGCCTGCTGATCCTGCCCCATTCGACCCGCCACAGAACGGATCAACCGATATTTGAAAAAACTAAGTTGCAGGTGCGGATGCAGGTCAAATATATATTTTACGCGGGACGGATGCGGATTGTTCTAATTTCAATTGTGGATATCCGGTAGTCTGCAAAAATAGAAAAAAATATTTTTCAAAAATGTACTAAAATTCGTTAAAAAATTATTTTTTTAAAAAAATCAAAAATTTAATTAAAAATATACTATTTAATATTATTAAAAAATTATTTTAACTATTAATAGTTATCCGCAGGTCCCCCGGATTATTTGCAAAATTAAGTGGGGCGGATACATATAAAATTTATTTTCTTTCGGGTCAGGCGGGTCGGAGATGACGAGTTTGACCCACTTCCTAGCACCAAGCATAGTTAATTCATATTATTTTTCCAAAATAAAACTACACAATTGCATATAATACATTTACATAGATATTGATGATAATAGTAAATTAAAATCTACAATAATTTTAGAAAGTTAGATTAATAAAGAAGATTTTATAATATCATAAAATAAAAAATTTTATCGATCCATTTGTAAATAAAACAATAAAAATGGTATCCGCGACGCAAATCAAAATTCTTGTTTTTTTTTTAAATTACCCTCTTTTCGTTGTATATTATAAATATATAATTTATATTATAGAGTAGATTAAAGTCTAATTTATAGGTCCAACAAATTTTTGTAATAGATTTTTTTTTAAATGATCCTCTTTTCCCTAGTGACAAATCTCATCACAACTTTGATGTAATAAGGTATGTAATTAGTGCCGGAGGTTCAGCATAGGGCGTCTAAGGTTGAGGTTATTCATCACTACCACACTTGATATCAGTGTTGACAAAGTGAGTAACTACATCTGCATGTTGACAATACGAGGATAGAGGCTTTTCAGGAGACGAAGAAACGATGTTGATATTTTCTATCACGATGTTCTGACAGCTTACTAGCTTGTCACAAGCTAGTTTTATAGCAATATCATTTGAGCATGTCCCGGTGAAATTTCTAAATGTTACGTCGTTCACTTTCACAGCAGTCGCCTGCATGATTCACAGCACGTGTATTAATTTTAAAAGTATTAAAACCAATAACCAGATATAAATAATAAAAAGAGTGCTGAATTTCACATTCCTAAAGTAGAAGTAGTTTGCAATTTTAGTGTTATAAATTAATGTGTAATAATATTTCATTTAGGTATATATACGTCCAATATACACATATATAATATTTGGTAAACACGACTATAATTTATAGATAGAAATTGTACCCCTGATTTACAGTTGTGGCCACCGTTACAATAATTCTGATCGATGATGATAGGATACTTGGCATCTATTAATGTTATATTTTCGTATGTAATATTTCTGGCGAACCCTTTGCCTCCCTAAAAAATAATGTAAGATCAAATATGATAAATATAAAATTTATTTAAAATTTGTATATGTAAATCTAATTATGTACAAAATCTTACTGCCCAAGTCTTGATTCTTGCCCCATTATTAGTTCCATTGAAGCTGCAGTGTCTTACTTGCACGTTCTTAACCGTTTCATTTAGCCCACCTCTGCCCAAACTTCCAATACTGCAGGTTTCTCAGGGATGGAATACACTGTTGACATTTATATATTTTTTTCTAAAATAACTAAACCCTAAGAAAAACCTTTGCAATGAAACGAAAAGATGGGGCTGTAAGAAATATAAAAATGCATTAGTGTTCTAAATTATAGTAATCAATCTAACATATGATTAATACGTTAAAGCCAAGCTTAAATATTAATGTGGACGTCTGCCATTGTGTTAGTATCTTCCATTTTTCAGAAAATATTTTGTATCATATTGTATATAATTCTCTGATATAGATGAGCGGTCTAATGTATAGTATTCAACTATATATAGGATAAAATCATAAAATCTAATAACTCTAAATCTATATTTTTAACAACACTTGTGCGTAAGAGTTGACGGAAAATACTTCGTTAATAAGAGCACTCTCAGTTGCTCACTCACATTAATATGTAACGAAGATGTATTACCAGACAACTAGGGAAAATACATATGTATAATGTATGTACGAACCTGATGCCATGGCCCGGACCACAGGCCACATGAGTTATGTTGATATCGTATGAACCACCATTAATCGCAACACAATCATCACCTAACATATTAAAAAACTCTATAAAACAAATTGCGTAGTTTTTTCTTTCAATGAAACCGTGTGTATTAGCGTGAATTGATCATATTGATATTTCATTAAAAAAAAAAATTTAATTAAAAAAATGGAATATTTAAAGTACCTGTTTGGATAGATGAATTGAAAACCTGGACATTGTTTGAAAGAGCAATGTCGATGCCATCAGTGTTTGGACTATCTCCAGGTGCGATGAGATGAAGATTTGATAAAGTTGCGTTGGTGCAATTAAAAACTGAAACGTGATTCTTCGGGCTATTGAATTGAGTTAGTCCACTATATATAATGTCAGAACTTGCATTAAATCCTACTGCCTGCATAATGAAAATGAACTATACATAAATAAAAAAATTGTCCAATCGTTGAAACATCTAATAATCTTGAATGAGTAAGCCCTAATAAAAACATTTTATAGCAAAACGAATACAGACCCGTGGTCGGTTGGAGTGATCAACAGACGACCACCAAGCTTCACCATGGGGATTGAGAACACCAGACCCATTGAGGACGATACCTGTCACGTTTTTGAAACATAACCAGCACTTACTTTCTCCTATGTCTCCCCACTCTTCTATCATTTTTGGCGCCTCAATTGTTCCATCAATCTTGCCACAAATGTATATAATCATTAAAATTTATAAAGATTGAAATATATTACTCTATCCGCTTCATAAAGAATGTAGTTTTAGACTTTTATTTTTGTTTCATATTTTAATGCAGTATTTCAAAATAAAATTTTAATGTTACTCTTTTTTAAATAATAATATTTAATGTATAAATACAAGTAAATCAGAAATTTTAAACTATTCTTAAATATGCGTGAAAACTATCAAATGATATTCTTTGAAACGGAATGAATAACATTTTAAAATGTGAACATCTTCTTTATCACTAAAAAGCACAAACATATAAGCAAGATTTGGAAATAAAATCGAAACCTTTATAATCTCCACAACAATGTTTTGGGTAAATACCTGAATATGAATATCACGAGAAACACAAGGACCTTGAAACAATTGTGGTTGTATAGTATATGTTTCATTGGCATGAATGACTAGAGATGTTGCCTCATCTTTTTCATCTGCTTCACATAATGCTTTCCATGCATCTCTAAACGCCTGTAAGAAGATCTACTTGTTAATGGAAGTTATTTTATATTAGAAATGAAAATAGTTAATGATAAAAACGTTACCTGAGAATAATCTGTGCTTGTATTTTTTGCATCAGTTGTAAAATCCTTGATGCTTAAAGTCATCCGGCCATCTCCGTATCGTAAGAGGCACGATATGATTACAAAAACAGAAAAGAACACTTCCAAATCCTGAGATTAGTAAAAATATAGTCATTACATTTTTTGAACCAAAACAAAATGAAACAATGGCTTTGCACCCATTTAAGTTTTCTATCCTCTAACAAAAGAAAATTATAAACCAATGAGACGAAGAATGCGCAGAGTTTTATCGAGAAAGAGTATATTTTCTCACCATTTTGATCTTCATAAGAAAAATATCAGATGTTTTTCAAAGTGTGTTGTGCACTAATTGTATATATGTTGTGTTACTTGTCAAAGTCTTGCAATTTATTTTTCAAGTTTACATTGTATTCCTTGTCTGTACGATTCCACTATATACATTTTATGGTAGTAATGTATACGACTAAGGATATAATTAAATTTTAGATTTGGGGGATATTTATAATGGATTTTAAGGATATTTCAATGTTTCATAGAACTCCTTAATGAATAACAAGATAATATAATATATGTCATTTAAACAAAAAAATCTTGGTTGTTTGAGATTTAATGCTATATTAAGCAAGCTTTTGGGGATTTGATACGAAAAATAAGAAATGTAGAATAAATAATTGTATATCTCCTCCATCCATTCAATGATTAAGGATGGGATCTCTCCACTTTCTTTAACGTGGTCACGACTCCTTGTTAATCAAGGAATCTCAATATGCGTTTGAAATCTTCAGTCCGAATGATTTCTTTTTTTTTTGATCAAAGTCAGAATGATTTCTTAACATTCGTTAAAATAGATATAGAATCTTTCTATATTCCAAAATTATTTTAAGAATGATTTGCCAAATATGTATCTTTGACTGATTTGATGCTTTGGTTAAATCATCATTCGAAATATGATATATTTAATTGTGATTGAGAATCTATTTACTAATTTATAGCGATGAGAATCAAAATTTATGGTTGATTGAAACTATTTTGTATTTTAGGAAACAATATAATACAATTGACAATGTACTAATCCCTTTATTATGCATTTCGATATGTATATGCAGAAATTATGTGAATGATTACGTTGTTTTAATACATTTTTTATTTGAAATGCATTTTACGTGTTTAGTAGATAGATACCTAATGTTCATTTATATAAAACACTATAATACAACATAATCCATTATTGTTTTCTTCAATCCTATTAAGAATTAAAAAAAAAACTAATCAAAGCCTCAATTTCATATAACAACTGAATTTTCTAGAGTTATTATATACCTAATAAAAACATAGATATTTTTGTGTACAATGTATCAAAAATGATATGGTTCTTCGCGTCAAAAAAAATTATCTGTTTCAGTAGGTTGAGAAAACAAATATTTTTTTTTTAGTAACTTTGTTTGAAACAAATATTTCTTTAGTTTGAAACAAACTATGTATCAAAAATATTATAGTTTTAAACAAACGATGTATCGGAAATATAATTTAGCTTGAGCTTGAAGAAACAAATATTTTTTCAGATATCATGTCATATAATGACATCGGTTACTTTCACGTGCGTCATTAATAACCCGTTCGTAATCGGCAAAGTGGATTGATCCATCATTGTAATACACCACGTTAAAACAATGTAATTAATATAGTAATATACGTCAAATGTGGACGATGAATGAGTGAGAATGTCATAAAATGTAATTAGTTTAGTAAATCAAAGATTTTTAATGATAAATGTTGAGAGAGCCTCTAGTGTTGCCACGTAGGAAATGTCATTCTTGTTAATAATACATGATGGTAAAATTACTTTCAAAGAATACTCCTATTTTAATATTAACTAGATCTTGATCCGCGCACCGGCGCGGGTTTAACTTAATTTAGGAAAGCATAATATACTCATAAGTCATCGGTTATTACCGTATTTTAGAAACTATGATCGTATTGAATGTAATAGGACTGGGGTTTGATTTTGGGTTCAATTTTTGTTGAATTCCTTATGTTCGTAGTTTTTTTTAGTTCTATAGATATAAGATCTGTTCAGTTATCTATATAAATTGATTCGTGTCTTGTTCGATTCTTTTGGTTTGAGCTGGGTTTGGTAACAATTATAATAACCACCTAATATCAGATAAATTTTTGGTTCCAATATGATAGCGGTTTGGTTACGATTTCTAGGGTTAATTTTAGATTAATCGGGGTAAATATCCAGTTACGAAAACAAAATTTTAATATTTTAGTTAAAGCTATTCAAGTATTTTGTGTCTTTATGATAATTTGAATAATGTAAAATACTCTAGATAAAAAAATATTTGAGTATTAAATTATTTGAAATGTAAATTGTTATTATCTTTAAAACTGTTGTTATTTTTAATTTAGTCAACAACAAATAAAACTGAATATTTCTTTTATTGTTTTAAATTTTTATTATCTTAAAAACTGTTTGATTTTGTGCGAATATACATTAAAACTCCAATTCTACACTCTGTATATATAGATGGATGAAAAGGGTATGGTAAGTTGTATTTATGGTGAGAATATACCGTAATATACGTTATTCCTTGGCTGATATTGTTAAAATTTTGTGTGCAATATATGGAACCTCGTTTGGAAAATTAATGAGATATCTGGCCGGTATAAGAAGATCTTGCTAAGCAAGATTATAGAGTAATCAATATTAGATATTTTTTAAGATTTGGGAAAGCATATTTAATGGTTTAGCTATCGATTTGTTAGATTGAAAAATAAGATAAATATGTAAGTAAGCAATATATAGATATCCACGTTTAAGGTGTTCTGATAGCCAAACAACTTTAAATTTTTTATTACTACTATATCAGTTTCCAAACAAACCTAAAGAGTACTACAACTTTAATAAGATCGATTAGATATTTTTTAAGATTTGGGAAAGCATATTTAATGGTTTAGCTATCGATTTGTTAGATTGAAAAATAAGATAAATATGTAAGTAAGCAATATATAGATATCCACGTTTAAGGTGTTCTGATAGCCAAACAACTTTAAATTTTTTATTACTACTTGATGTCTTGCATTATTACATTGTTTTATCTCTTCATTTGCATTCCTTTTCATCATGTAGAATAGGTTTTAGCCATGTTTAGGTTGCATTTTGCATACATGAGTCCCTTTTAGGTATTGGAGCATCACATGGAGCTTTTGGAAGCATTTGGGATTTATCAGGGGCTCAAGGGAGGCAAAAGGAGTGACCTAAGTCCGGAGAGAGCCACAGCGACCTGTCACAGCGGCCCTGCCTAGTCGCTGTGACCCAATGCAACGCAGCGGGTAGATCGCAGCGGGTCTTGCCAGC